TTTCTTTATTCAAACCCTCTTTCTTTTACCCTAATTAGTATATAATTAAGAATAAAAGATGGCAATAATAACCCACTAATTAACTTAAGGTTACCTCTTTTAACCCCCAAGTAATTAGACGTATTAACATTAACCCACTAACTTTATAATTAAAGCAGGAATAGTCAAAAACGCCCCTTAAAAACTTAACCAGAAATCCGACTCCGACTGGGATTACGCAACCTGTGACGGCCCGTCGTGCCTGCGACGGTCCGTCCTGCAGGTCGTCGCAAGGTTCAGAGACTCAATTTCCACCAAAGAGTCTTTGACGGTCCGTCACGCCCGTGACGGTCCGTCCTGCCATTCCGTTACGAAGTTCAGAGAATCGATTTTCAGTACCCAATTTCAGAATTTCTAAGTGTTTTGAAACGAGACCCCTCGACGGTCCGTCGTGCTCATGAAGGTCCGTCGTGGATTCCGTCGTCTCAGCCTGTTTTTCCAGAAATAAAATCTGCTGCTCAAAACGACTAAACAGGTCATTACACTCCTAGAATGAGTTTTCATTTCAAAGAACTATCTTTATCAAATCTTATATTCCTCAATATAAAGACATGATTTTTTTAATTACAATTAATGATATTACTAAAGCATATATATAAATATATTGACCCCACTTTATTTTATTAATTATGGGTTTCAACCAAAGTTGTTGGACTATTTTTGAATTAAGTTAATAATATCAATACAAAAGGCATCAAACTTTGTACTATTACTAAGAATAAACATTTCACGTGTATTACAAGTAATTATCTGTTTATTTTCAAACTTAGTACGTGTACATCATATATATGCTACACAATTAACTAATTGTGGTTTAATTTGCATTTCCTTAAACAAATTGAATAATTATGTAGACTTTGATAGTTCATTATATATATATATTACCTAACATTATTCTAATTTAGTCTCTAAAAACTATCATTATCACAAAGATTTATATTAGTATATATATATAGAGAAAGAAATCTAACTTGTTTAATGCTGATAATTAGTTTTGCATTTATTATTATTCTGTTTAATATATGAACTTACGAATTATTTTTTCTCATGTTGTTTTGTTTTCCCTACCTACCTATCTAACTCTTGAAGGCAATACTTACTAAAAAAAGTAAATAATAATTTTAATTTATTAGTTAAAAATAATAATAATGATGATAAATAGGATAAGCATTAAATCAATATTATTAAGTGACAAAATTATAGTTATAAATGTGTTGGGACATATAATATAATAAAATAAATAAAAAGTGTATGCTCTATAATATAAAATAACATGGATTTGTCGAAAGATATTTCAGATAATCATCCATTAAAAAAGGTGATCGAATTTGTATTTTCGAAAGCAAGATAAGTTATGTACTATCTAAACAAGACATGATGTAAAAATAATTTAATAATATAAAGGTTTATATTTACTTTTTGGAATGATGGTATGAAATAACAAATTATTAATTTAAATTAAATTCTATAGTTATAGTTTATTTTATTTGTAACTCGTAGCAAACATTTTATTTTTTTTACTATTTGATTCGGTATACAATTACCTATTCGATATACAAGTATATAAAATGTATAAAATGCATTTGTATTTGTATAAAGAAATAGAAAATGTATTTATCAAATACAAATACATATATTTTCGTCCTATATACTTGTAATTATGCAAATAGAGATCTTATTATACAAATTATAACGTATAAATGAATTTATATAACACTAGACAATTTGTATAAAATTGGATGTACTCAGCGAATTATACGAATTAAAAGCTCCATAGCAAATATAAAATTTGCTATGAAATACAATTACGCAAACTATAACTATAACATACAAAACGATTATTACGTTTGTTATTAGCGAAAGTTACTCTTACTTTTTCTCAAAGTTGGATTAATTATTTTTTACCCATAAAACTTGCAATATTTATAATATTATAAATATAAACAGATAGCTAGGTTAGGTCCAGAGATCTAGCAATAGAGACCCTTCTTGTTTAATAAGCAGGTCACCTACAATTAAGATTATCTCTTTATCTAGTCTTTTATCTGTCTAAATTTATCCATAGTTATGGATTTTTTTATATGTTTTAAAAAGAAATATTAATAATTAAAAAGCTTTTTTTAAAATTATTTTTTCGTTCATGTCTTAAGATATAATTCTCTTTATTAAATATATTTTTTATTAAAAATTTATAGTCTTTAAAAAAGCAATCTAAAACTACTGTTGAAAATAAAATGAGAAAGAGAGAAAATAATTAATTAATTTATTCTTGAATTTTCAAAATGACAAATAATATAATCCGATATCATAATCATAAAAAGAAATAGAAAAGAGAGAAAATTTAAAATAATTTTTTTTTTAAAAACCACGATATATAGAATTTGAGAAGAAGCTCTCCATCAAAGTTAATGAGGATTCGATTAATTATACAAGTTTTTTTAAATCTAATTACACAAATATTCCGATTGTATTTACTAATTTTCTCTACAGTTTTAGATTATTGCATATTGTTTCAATACTTAATAGTTTCATATCAGACTTTAAGTTAGATATATACATTAATACATATATTTTTTGTTATCAGATACACTTTGAAATATATATGCATAGAAAGGTGAGGAAAAAAAGAGAAATGCGAGCATGATAGAAAGAGTATATATATATATGTGTGTGTGAGATCAACAAGAGAATTAATGCATCTCAATTACATGAAATCACACAAAATAAATGTATCTTGGGTATCATATATACATTTATGAAATACAAACTCATAGAGAGAGGTAAACAATATAGTCATGTATCCCAGATACATGTTAATTCGCTTGATCAATATAACGTATATAAAATAAATTAGGGAAAATGTACAAGTACCTCTTAACCTAAGCCTCGAAATCTCAGAGACACACTTAAACTATATTAAGGTTCTATTATTCCTTTAACTTATTTTATAAATAACTTTCTATCTCTTTTCGACCTACGTGACACTATCTTGTGGGCATAGCGCGTGCTGACACTTTTTTCAAGCTAGTGCCACGTAGGCTGAAAAGGGCCCAAAAATTATTTATAAAACAAATTCAGGAGGGTAATAACACCTTAGTATAATATAAGTGTGTCTCCAAAATTTCAAACATAAATTGAGAGGGATACTTGTACATTTTCCCAATAAATTAACCTAATTCTAATCCTATATATTCAAAATACATATATCTAAACACATCGTATAAATCATAGATACATGTCACTAGAATCATACAAAATCCTAGTATATATGATACATTATTGGGTGAAAACCCAATCCAGCAAGCAAATAAGTTGTTTAGCTGACAGTAACACAATATGTTGAAATCTTTACTAAGAAAATTAATTAATTCTCTTAATGTGACATCACTTCCTCTTTTAAACTAATCCCTTTGCTTTCTTTTAATAAATTAATACTCTATTAATTATTAATATTTTTTACTTAAAAATGTGATATAAGTTGGTCTACCAGACAAAGAACATTTGTGGAACAAGCAATCATATGTGGATGAAAATTGGAGTGAGTGTTGCTTTCTAGGAGAAATTTTTTTAACTTAACTAACTTTCGTGAAGAAGGGGGTTAAATGAAAGGTTAAATTCCTTTAAGAGTAAATAAAACTCGGAAGGAACAACGGGTATAATACAGTTTAATTGAGCATAAAGTTTAAGAAAGAACGAGAAGATCATTAAAAGTACTGATTAGAGATGTTCATAGTATGGTTATGATTACCAATCAAATTGATTTGGAATGATTTGATATTTTTAAAGTTAATTTGATTAATTTTAAAATAATAAGTCGATAGTTATAATTTGTTAAACTTTCGACCCGCATACAATAGATAATACAATTTTGACTTTTCAAAAAACTTCTCAATTATATCATATTAACCACATTTATATGAATATTCAAGAAAAAGCAAAAACATTTTTTTAGTTGTTAATTAATAATCATAGAAAGGACATTTTAATTGAGACAAAACAATACTATAAAGTTTACATATTCTAACAAGTTAGGGTCAAAATATCCACAACTTCAATAAAAAAGAAAATCAGAAATACAAAAATAGTAATACCCAAAAATTAAGTTGAATATTATTATTTAAAAATAAATACTTCAATAGTTTTTTAAGATGGTATAAGGCTTTTGAAATTTGTAACATTAAACGTGTCATCGTATTAGTTTTATGACTTTTTTGGTATGATAGATATAGTTCAATATCTTTAGTAAAACAAATACTCTTTTGTCCCAAATTAGGCATATTTTTTTAGTTAATTTAAAAAAAGAATTAGACATTTTTTATCTGAAAATATCTAACAAATTTTTATTACTTATTTGATAAAAAATCCACAAATTTATACTCTTTATAAGGATAGTTTTGAAACATTACAAAAAATTTTCATATTTTAATTAAATTTTATATCCAATCAAATTAAATTAAGAAATAATAATAATAATAATTTTATATCATCCCTTCCACTATTAATTATCATACTTTTCTTTTTAGAGTCAAATTATAAAAATTTTGACTAACAATTTACGATGTATTTTTCATCATATTATTATAAAAAAATTGCAACTAATCGTAATTTTCGTTTAGATTTTGAAATATTTAAATTTTATGTTTAAAATATTAAATTAATGTAATCTAATTTAACTTTAAAAATTAATCAAATTAAATTTTAAAAAACGCAACATAATAAATAAAAATGAATGAAAAAAGTAATTTTACCGGATACAACATGAAAAATTATTAGTAAAATTATTGACTAATTAATCACACACAGATTTGAGAGGTACCAAATTGACAAGCAACTACTTTCTCCAACACATAAATGTAAAAACAAATAATAAATAATTAACTCTCACATAAGTCATGTTTTGTACAACATAAGTAATACTAAGTATATTATATATATGAGGTTATTTGAGTAGTTATTTTAGTAGGAGTTGAAGGAGGCAGCTAATAATTAGCCAAATTATCAGAGAGAATTATATTATAAAGTATTAATTAAAGTGTTAAAAAAAGAGAGAAAATGGGAAGATCTCCTTGTTGTGATGAGAATGGTTTAAAGAAAGGTCCATGGACTCCAGAAGAAGATCAAAAACTCACCAATCATATCAATAAACATGGACATGGTAGTTGGAGAGCCCTCCCTAAACTTGCAGGTATTTTCTTGGTTTCTGGTCCGATAAGTCGATCGCCTTCTAACTAGTCATGTAAAGATATAGAGCTAGGTGTACGTAATCATGTTTGAGATTCTTTTTTGAAATTAATATATCAATTTTTATAAGAGGAAAAAATCACTCTGTCGTGTAAGTGAAGAAGAATCGTAGCATAGTGCTTACATATATATTTTTTTCGGTTATAATAATCTAAAAATAAATTTATCTTTCATGTTCGTAATTGCAAATGTTTTTTTAAAAAATTGAGATTGTAAATAATTTTTATACCGTCAGGTTTAGATTTTATCAATATTCTTTTAAGTGATATGATTGATGATGTATATAACTTTAACTTACTCGAAAATTTTATTTATTCACATATGTATATGATTATTCAAAATTTTATTTTTTTGATTTTGTGTAGGTCTTAATAGATGTGGAAAGAGTTGCAGATTAAGGTGGAGTAATTATCTGAGACCAGATATTAAAAGAGGAAAGTTTTCTCAAGAAGAGGAACAAACAATTCTCAATCTCCATGCTGTCTTAGGAAACAAGTAATTATTTTTCTTTATTTCTTCTTTTATTTTCTTGTTTTTTTTTTCTTCGAAATTTGATTATAATGATATGAAATTAAGAATTTTGTATTTTTTTGGATTCATCTTGCATGCACTAGGATCGTTTGGTTAATAACGTGGAGATTGTTAATGCAGAGATTAGTAAAATATAATGCGTGATTTACTTACACTATAAGAATGTTTTTGTCTTTAAATAGTTTATCAATCTTGCGTTACTTTTACATTCTTAAAAATAATATATATATTTCCACATAATTTAATTAATGCATATATTATTATGCAACATTTTATGTTTGAGATTATAACTATTTATATATCTCAACCAAACATTGTAGTATCTTATGTCAGATTTTATGTATTGGGTTAATTTTTCTATTACTCAAACCAAACAACCCCCAATAACATAAATAAGATGAACTATCACTATATATTATTTATAACATGTTATAGGAGGAGGTAATATGCCTTATTTTGTAGCTTTATCTAGTCTAATTCGTTATGTGCGATTAACTATAACATATTTTAGATAATTTGATTGTGTAAAAGTTTTACGTTATCATATATAGTAAACAAGTTGGCTTTTTAAAAAAAAAATAAAAATAAAAATTGTTTTTTTGATGGAGTATAAAAGTAGATCAACTCTTTCTTTTTGTTTATATTAGGTGGTCAGCAATTGCAACTCATCTACCGGGGCGAACTGACAATGAAATCAAGAATTTTTGGAACACTCATTTGAAGAAGAAGCTAATACAAATGGGATATGATCCAATGACTCATAGACCTAGAACTGATATATTTGATAGCTTGCAACATCTCATAGCTTTGGTAAATTTGAAGGAACTAATTGAAAGTCACTCATGGGAAGAACAAGCTATGAGACTTCATTACTTGCAAAATCTTCTACAACAACCTCACAACAATATGAGTACTTTAAGTGGTATCCAAAATGTGGAAGCTTATAATCTTTTAAATTCTTTAGGAGATAGTCAATTCTTAAGCACTAATAATAATAATTTGGGAAATCATATAGTTCAACAAATTCCTTCAAGTCTTGATCAACCTATAATTCAAGATTCAATCTCTTTTTCCCATTTGCCTGAATTACACACCCCTAGTAGTTTCCAAACTTCTTTAAACAAAGATAGGGTTCGAACTGAAGACACTGAGTTTAGGATTATGAGCCAAGGAGAAACTTCACCGGCTTCTCCATGGCTCCCTTCTTTATCTCCTCCACCGCCTCCTCAAGTCATGAATGATCAGAGAAGTAAAGAAAATTCATCAGAAGTGGTGATTTCGTCTGGCTTGTCAGGAGAGAGCAAAAATTCGAATCATCTTTTTCTGCCAGATAATAAGCAGTCACTCAATAATATTGAAGAAGCTCCACCTTCTATTTGGTCCGACCTACTTGAAGACTCTTTTTTCCAAGACATTGATAAGTTTTAAAAACTAATAGATCCCTTGAAATTTCAACTTATTTTTCCAGATAGCGAATGATCACTCAACAAGGAGTTTCACTTTTATCTCTGGCTTGGCGTTCTACTTAGCATGAAGAATCATTTTTCCAAGATATTGCAAATTTTTAAAAGATGTGTAAGTTGCTTGGAGTTTTAACTTTCACAAAACTTTTCTTTTTTCTTTCATTTTTCTCTTCAAGTTTAATTACTAATTTGCCTTCATTTTGTTTTCCTTAGAAATAGTTATTTACATTTTCGACTAGTATGGTGAATCAATGAATAAAGCACAAGTTCAAAGATTAGCATATAAACTTGTAATTTTCAATTACTTTGCCCTTCATCATTTTTTCCTTGTTCTTATTTTCTTGCACATTTATATTCAATTGAAAGTAACATTTTTGTCATATATTCTTCCTAAGTTGAATCACACTTTATAATATCGAGTACGAATAATAGAGTTTTATTTCTATTTAAAATATATACATCAAACTATTCAAACATTATTTCACGATCGAATTATAATTTTGAGATAACTTAGCTCCCAACCAAACTACCTCTAAATTAATAAGAGGGTTTGGGGGGGAGGGGGGGAGGGGTTCCCAAAAATAATTAAGTTTCATTTTTTATGTCTTTTGACAAATAATCACTTGGGATGGATAGCTACAACATCCCTACCTCTTGGCAATTTGTAGCTAAGGCCAAATTTTATTTTATTTTTATTACAGCTAAGGCCAAAAAAACCAGTGGATCTCAAAAAGTGCCACGTGCTTAAATATTATAGGCTATAGCGTTTGAAAAACACCCCCCCACAAAATTTGTAGCTCAGAATTAATTTGTCACCTTATCCTTTTGACTTATAAGATGTGCATTTTCTCATGAGTAATTTGAGCCTTCACAATTCATAGGGAAAAAAATCTGCCTTGAACCATAGAAAAAGACTTGCTCCACAATTCATCAGAACTAAATGGAGAAGAATACACATTTCTCCTCCTTTTAAGATACAGATGCAAAGCCTATAACTATACCTTCTAAATGAGATGCATTATTTCCACCACTGGGTTCAGGCCAACACAATACAACAAGGCCAGAAACTCCCATGAGATTTAACTTGTACAACACTTTTTGTCAGCGTCAACTTATAGCACTCCTCGGCATGAATCGATTGGGGTAACCGTATCACGTATTTATTCTACTTTCAGAACAATCTTCATGAACTCATAAACGAAATAACTGATTGCAGCTGATGGCAAAACCTGAAGAGCACAATAAAGAGATGTGTTTCGTTATATACATAACTCTTCTAAACAAGTAAAACAACTAGAAGATCGAAGGAACTTTACTAAAAGATAGAACAAGAGTCGATAAGAAATTGTATGTTTGATGTTACCTGTAATAAGCTGGGTGTCAATCCTGCATAGAGAGCAGGAATCCCACCTTGATCGACGATCTTCAAGCTAGTTGCTAATGCACTCATTTTTGTGGCCCGTACCTGCATCTGAAGCTGTCTTCTCACAACTTCAAATGGGTATGTAGCGGCTTCAGCACAAGCACCAGCAATTGCTCCATATATCAAAGTTCTTACTGTACCCAACTCCAGTTGATCTAATGCATTTAGATCTTCACCTTGTTTCATATTTTGTAGTCTTTTCCTTCCTTCTGGTGAATGCAAATAAGCTGATTTTAGTATATCATAAACTCCATAAAAAACTGCGCCTGAAGGTGCCATGCTTATGATGGAAGGAACTAGGCCTTTGTAAAGAGAGAAGAATCCTTCAGTGCGAATCATGTGGCCAAAAGTACCAATTAAGCCTCCCAATGCTTCTCCCCCAGGTGCTACCATTACTGTCCTAATCTGGAATATTGACATTTCCAAAGATAAAAAGAGATGTGGTCAGATCATCTTGAGGTACTTTAGAAGAGAGAGCTAAAAACCAGTGTTTCGTATACTGTAGGACTCACATAAGAAAAGTAATAGCACATGATTAAAAGTCCTGCAGCATGCTAATATATCAAACCTAGAGAAATAATATGATTCTATTACTCAACTCATCAAAAATATTTTCAAATGATTAAATTAGCTGTAGCCTGTATTTTTTACAGATGAACTGAATCTTCAGTGACATTCTCCACAGCTGCTTCATTCGACATAGTCTCTAGCAATTATGCTTCTGGCCTTTCTTTAAGTTTAATTAAGCCCCAATCATATTCTCTCACTTTGCTAGTTCCTCTGACTTCATTCAGATCAGTGACATAGAGTCAAAGGAAAACCAAAAAAACTTCGTAACAATTAAGCAGCGTTTGCAACTTGAAGAAAATAATTTGTCAAGCTAAGCAGTCAGAAAGTATCAAATGGGTAAAGGAAATTGTTGAATGTCCATATCTACTTGCATTATTTTTTGAAGCACACAACCTAGGAAATCTAAGAGCTAGTTTCACCATATAACATGACAAGAAAGATAGTTTGGCGTCCAGCACCAACTTCCAAGATACTTTAACTTCCCTCCCCTGATTTAGTAGCACAGGAACGGATGCATATCCAACTCGACTGATTTCAATTGATTATGGTTTTAAAAAAGAAATCAATAAGCAAAAAGATTGACTATACTAAAATATATCTCACAGTGTCCATAGGTATGCAGAGCACAGTGGCAGTAATTCCTGCAGCAGCACCAGCAACAAATCTTTCAAGATTAGTTGCCTCCTCATTACCAGTTAATTTAAGCAGATGATCCCTGTATTTTTCATACGAATAGAAGTTGATAGCCTTAAATGGTGCTGTGCGTAGAATATTGACAAAATTCCCTTTCCAAAATCCCTTGATGCCTTGATTGGTTGCAATAGTCTTGATGAGCTCCAAAAGATGCCTTTGCTCACCACGCACTATATACTCCAGCTTTAATCTCTCAAGAGGAGCAACAAAAGTTCTGAAACAAAAGCAATTCAGAAAAGCAGAAGTCGTCCACAAATAATCAACATTTTACAGGTTATATGAAGTTTATAGGGAACATAACCCATTCAATGCCACTAAAGTACAAGGCTTCAAGAAAGTATTACTAAGATTCACATTGCCAAATTCAAAGTTACAACACAGAAAGAAGCATTTGTTAGCATATAAACATTTTTTGTTTCGAAAGCATCAAACTTATTCTGCTAAGATATAGCATCACATTGATCCATTTCACAACCAAAAAGCAGATATATTCCCGGCTCAAGTAACAAGAGTCTAACTCTATATTTCAACATTCATGCTTAAATCTTTCTAGCAATGGATATCCTTTACACTCAACTCTTCTCATATGGGTTTCTAGAGTTTTTGTTACTTTGCAGTAGGTTTGGCGTGGACTGAATGGAAGAAAAGAAATCAGAGATACTTTGGAGGCAAAAAAGAGAGTATTTGTGACTTATATTATACTCCCTCTGTGCAGTGTCAATTTTTTATTTAATTTCAGTGTCAAAAAAATATTATACTCCCTCTGTTTCTTTGTTTGTATGGTTTTGACTTGCGATGGAGCTTAATAAAGTAAAGAAGACTTGAATTATGTAGTCTTAAACTAAAGATACTTGTTTGATACCTGCTTTTCCAAGTATTCACACTTAAAGATTCTTACTAATTAATAAACAAACATATTAAATGAATTTCTATATGCTTAAAATTATACCACATAGCAGTAATTACAATGTTTAATGTAACAACTCATGGTTTTTACACAGAGAAAACACCAACCTGGTAATATTCATATCTAAGCAATTCAATATTTCTTCATTACTTAGTATTAGAATCTTCAAATGTCTGTTTTCTATTTTCTTTTGTTAAATAAATAAATAAGGTAACGTTAGGAACAAGTGGTCACGGATTCAAGTTGTAAAAATAGCCTCTTATAGAAATGCAAGCAAGGTTGCACATTAAATCCAACCGGTCATTCCCCAGACATAGAGGGAGCTTAGTGCACCGACTGGCCTTTTTCAAGTATCAACTGATCTAGTCCCTTGAATCCCAATAACACCAAGAATACATTAATACATGCACCACGTAGTTATCCATCCAAGTTAAATGACAGGAAAGTCAACATCAGATAGTCCAAGCATGTAAATGCGCAATCAATTGATTCCAAATGATTAAATAATTTGAATTTTCAAATAGACACAATTTTCTCAATGCCATCAAAATTTTACCTTTACCACAAAGAACATTTTGAATATGAAATGGGCTTAATAGAGCAAAACAGATCTAATGGATTCATATAGCTGACTTCAACTAGTTTATCATTGACGCTTAATTGATTGATACAAGTAGAAATTTCAAATATTTTGACTTCAACAATACAAAATCATACCAACAACAACAACTAACGGATTCGTCTAGCTGACTTAAACTAGTTCATCGTTTGGGCTTAGCTGATTGATACAACAAGGTATTTCAATTATCTTGACTTCAACAATATATAGCTGACTTCAACTGGTTTTATCGTTGAGGCTTAGTTGATTGATCCAACAAAAGTCTTAAATCACAAATTAAACCCGTTAAGTTCGTTATACGAATCTTCTATATCCATTCAGCTCTATTCAGATTCATTCATTTCAACACTAATAAGCAAGTATGTTGTTAACTAGACAACAATTAGTAATCAAAATAAATTCAAAATGGAAGAAGTGCTATTGCTTACCTTGAGACAGCTGCAGCAACAGCTCCAGCCCATAGATGTTTAGTAGTATTCAAAGCAGCTCCTCCACCGCTTAGCACCTTCTTCTTCTCCTCCTCCTCCTCCACCTTTTCAACTCTCCGCCGACACACTTGCATTTCACTCTCCGCCGCCGTTTCACCGGAATCCTCCTCAAATCCTTCATTTCCTCCGCCGTTAATCGACGCCGTCACCGACAAAAACCGTCCGCCGGTACCGCCACGAACTTCGAATCCAATCCTTCTCCGTCGACTCTCCGAATAACACAATCCCTGGTTCCCGATCAACGACACAAATGATCTCGGACCCGAATCTTCTAGAAACAACCCACCATCACTACCATTAAACCCGATCGAATTCAAACACAGATCACTAATGCTCAAACTCGAAACCCGAACCCGACCCGGATCCGATTGATTCACCATTTTCATTACAAATTTCACACTGTAGCAAAATGGAATATGAAAAATAAGGGGATTTTTAAAAGAGAAGAAACAAATAGAGGAAACAAATGCATTGATTCCATCGTCATGAAGAAGAAAATAAACAATTTTTTAATTTTTTTTTTTGGCTTAGGACTGTACAAATTTTTCAATTTTTTTTTTGTTTTGATTGTGAATTTGTGACACAATGCCAGAAAAGGAAAAAAAATAATGTTATTTTAATGTTTTTCATGATATTGATACTTATAGTGACAGATAAATGTTCATCATATGTTTTGGTAAAAGTGAGAGGCACTATTTGGT